TACAGTTTGGAGAGTAGCTGTCCAGTTACAGACAGAAAGCTACCTTACAGGTTGGAGAGTAGCTGTCCAGTTATAGACGGAAAGCTACCTTACAGTTTGGAAAGTAGCTGTCCAGTTATAGACAGAAAACTACCTTACAGTTTGGAAAGTAGCTGTCCAGTTATAGACAGAAAACTACCTTACAGTTTGGAAAGTAGCTGTCCAGTTATAGACAGAAAACTACCTTACAGTTTGGAAAGTAGCTGTCCATTTATAGACAGAAAGCTACGTTACAGTTTGGAGAGTAGCTGTCCAGTTATAGACAGAAGCTATCTTACAGTTTGGAAAGTAGCTGTCCATTTATAGACAGAAAGCTGCCCAGTAGTTTAGAAAGTAGCTGTCCAGTTATAGACAGAAAGCTACCTTACAGTTTTTGGAGTAACTACCAATTATAGGGTATGGTTAGTAACTGACCAGTTATTCTGTTAGGGAGGAGGTCCCTCTACAGAGATGCTGAAATTAGCATTTTTAATAATATAATGGGGTGTTTGGCTTGCTGGCTGAGTGACTGTGCTGGCTGAGTGATGCTGAAGCTTACTGTGGAATGTGAAGTTTAGGTGTAAACATCTCTAGCTCTTAGTGTTGATGTTTATTTTGAAAAGAGCCTACGATTGAATACATTCCCACACTGACAGCTGTAGTCATTGTTTGTGCTTACTTATTGGATTCTATAGTAAACTGTCACCATTCTCAGCCCAGAGCAACAGAAGTTTTTCCTGATGAAGCACCGGGCCAAACAGGTAAGACTTCTAAAACAACGTACTAACTAGGTAGCTTTCATAAATTTTGTTGTTTAAATAGCTGTAACCTCATTTGATGAAGGAAAGGTAACTTTTATATGTTTATGTGGGTGTTTTTTCAAATATTTATTGGTTACTTTGTAAAATTGAGATAGAAAAAAAAATCAGAAAATATTATGTTGGAATCAAAGAGGAATATATCTTGTCTAAATGGAATCATTTTTCATGATGATTTTATTTATATATGGTGTTGAAATATTGTCTGGGAGGAATTTTTATAAATTACAGGTAATTTTGTCCTGATAATATTAGAGAATTAGATGGAATTTTGTTATGGTGGGATAGTGATAAGTGGTGATAATAGAGAATATATATATATTATATATGGTGTTGAAATATTGTCTGGGAGGAATTTTTATAAATTACAGGTAATTTTGTCCTGATAATATAAGAGAATTAGATGGAATTTTGTTATGGTGGGATAGTGATAAGTGGTGATAATAGAGAATATATATATATTATATATGGTGTTGAAATATTGTCTGGGAGGAATTTTTATAAATTACAGGTAATTTTGTCCCGATAATATTAGAGAATTAGATGGAATTTTGTTATGGTGGGATAGTGATAAGTGGTGATAATAGAGAATATATATATATTATATATGGTGTTGAAATATTGTCTGGGAGGAATTTTTATAAATTACAGGTAATTTTGTCCCGATAATATTAGAGAATTAGATGGAATTCTGTTATGGTGGGATAGTGATAGGTGGTGATAATAGAGAATTAGATGGAATTCTGTTATGGTGGGATAGTGATAAGTGGTGATAATAGAGAATTAGATGGAATTCTGTTATGGTGGGATAGTGATAAGTGGTGATAATAGAGAATTAGATGGAATTCTGTTATGGTGGGATAGTGATAAGTGGTGATAATAGAGAATTAGATGGAATTCTGTTATGGTGGGATAGTGATAAGTGGTGATAATAGAGAATTAGATGGAATTCTGTTATGGTGGGATAGTGATAAGTGGTGATAATAGAGAATTAGATGGAATTCTGTTATGGTGGGATAGTGATAAGTGGTGATAATAGAGAATTAGATGGAATTCTGTTATGGTGGGATAGTGATAAGTGGTGATAATAGAGAATTAGATGGAATTTTGTTATGGTGGGATAGTGATAAGTGGTGATAATAGAGAATTAGATGGAATTCTGTTATGGTGGGATAGTGATAAGTGGTGATAATAGAGAATTAGATGGAATTTTGTTATGGTGGGATGAAACATAATGGACTTAAGTATAAAAAGATACAGAAAATCAGATGGAATTTTGTCAGTTTGGTATCCAAATTACACCAGTATATAATAAAATTTACAGAAATTTGATCTTTTAGAAATATCCATCACTGTAAAAGGTGATTCTGTTTTCATTTGAAAAAAAAAGATTGAAACATGTTTACAAGTTGTGTATTATTGTTTGACAATATAACTTGATCAAGAAGTCTCCGGAACCATGACTGGACATGATTATTGATAAAAATGGTCCGTCCCTTTGGCTGCTATGTTGCCAGAGGATAAAGATACATAGTAAAATACATACTAAATTGATACATCTCATGGGGTCAGTCTTACAGAGATCTTTAGATACTATATTGTATGGTTTTAGTTCATATTTATTGTTAAGACTCTCTACTATCATTCAGAATATTGGTTTACAAAATCTAATACAGGTTTACCCATTGATATTAAACAAATTGCAAAAATTCGAAATATTTCCCATTGAAAACCAGTCACAAAAAAAGCTAAATATTTCCCATTGAAAACCAATCACAAAAATCACTAAATGTTTTTCCATTGAAATCCAATCACAAAGAACACTTAATGTTTCTCCATCAAAACCCAGTCACAAAAAATACTACGAGGTAAATGATGTTTCCCAATTAAGAACATATCACAAAATCTAATTCGCTTTCCCATTGGGAACCATTTACATAAACTATTACATGTTTTCCCATTGAAAACCAGTCAGAGAAACCATTAAATATTAACCCATTGAAAATATATAAAAGCTAATCATTTTTCCCATTGGCAACTATTTATAAAAACCACAATATGTTTTCCAATTAGAAACCAATCAGAAAAACTAGTATGTGTTTCCCTTTTGGAGAGCGTTGGAATCTTTTTTCCACAATGTTGAAATAATACATAAGAATTTATGATATTTCAAATGAAATAACAACATTATCCCAAATGCTGACTGTACAGTTCAATTGAGGTATGCAACTTGTTGGTGCTGCAAACCAAGAAAAGAAAATTTAGTTTTTGGCTGATTGGTAAAAAGGTTAAGATCTATGTAGCATTTAAAGCAGCCATGTTAAATTGGCTTTCATTTTCTTCATTTCCGGTGAAAAGAGCTTTACAAAGTTCTGTTTAAAAAAATTGAAAGTCAATTGTTAGCCCATATTTAACAATATGTTTGGTAAGAGTTTGTTAATTACTATAAGGATTTATCTAGGCTAAAGATTCAAACCTAGATTAAAATTCCTATGACACACAATATAAGGCTGTTAAACTGTCGTTTTAGCCCAATATCAGAGATACAGCTGTGAGAATAAGTATAATGATCACCTTGTTTGTCATCCACATTACTTTAAAAAAAATAGGTGAACCAAGTCAAATGTTATAAAATCTGTGTCCATTCTATTAAGTATGAATAAAAAGACATTTTTTTTCAAGTCTAAAAGGAGACAGCAATGAGCCTTGTGCTATTTATCAGGCATTCCCTGACAAGTATTTATGTAAATGTTATAAAATCTGTGTTATTGTCAAATAACAGGTAGGCATTATTATTCATGACTAAATTTGAATATATAGATATTTCAAACAGACTTTGAATAAAGTGTCTGTGCACTATTTAATACTGCTATTACTTTTTCAAGACTTTTTTACATTGCAGGGGAATTTTGGGTAGCAAAATCTGAAAAGTTTCATAGTCTAAAATGCTGTTGCAATTTTAGTCTCTGAGGATATTCCAATATGTAGGAAGTTTTGTTGGTTTAGAGTAAAAAGGAAACCTGGTGTTTTGATTCTCTCCAATTTTACAATCAACAGATCAAATGTTATAGCAGCCTTGTTTAATAGATAAACAGTGTATTGCAGTGAAAATTTAGTTGTCATTATATTTGTCTTGTTAATCAAAGTGGAAGGGATAAAAAAACTAGATATAATATTTTTATGTTTACAAGAAAAATCTCACAGGACAACATGAAAGATAGATATTCTGTGACAAGAAGAACAATTCAAATGCACTTCCTCTGTATCTGAACTCTGATAAAACTCATATAAACTGATTAATTAGACTCTTGATGGTTTTGTCACTATCACAGAGACAGTGTATTCTTATAAAAACTGACACCACATCATTGTGATTATTAGTAATCTACAGGTTAGGCCAAGAACACTACTTCTTTAATTAATGACACCTGTGCATGTTCTAGTCATCGGTGCATTTCGACCAATAGAATCAGACATACGGTTAATAGTGTTCAAACTGTGTTTGCTGCATGCTGGAAGGCTCAGAAGTTTATCCAAATAACTTATTCTAAACAACTGCCAGGATCACAGAAGTACAACCTTGTATAAAGTTGTTCAATATTTTATATGTAGGGCTACTCCGTATGTTAATTAAGTACCCAATTATCGACTATAAATAAAATTAAAAGATTTTTTTTGTTTTTTAGTTCAAAATGGCTTTGCAAGAAGCTCAAGTCATACTTGCTTTGCCTAGAAGTATTAATTCCTTAAGTATTCTTACCTAGTGTAATGTCCTCAAAGTTGTTTCCAGGTAGATGTTTGTGGAATTGTTTGCTTTTTTCCCCCGCCAACTCAGACAGCCAAGAGAACCAGAAGGCATTTGTAGTAGAAAATGATTACACTGATTAATGGTATTAGCTAATGATTGCCTTACATTAGTTGTGTATGACAGGGTAGGGTAATCCTGCTACGGGAGACATTTGGCAGATACCTCTGTGTATCCTCACTTTATGGGGCTATGGTAGGAAATCTTACTCCTGAGGTCCCCCCAGTATAGATAGTAATATCTCACCTATGAACATGTGTTTTCAATTATATTCTGGGAAGATCTACTTGCCTATGTAGGTCCTTGTCTTGTGCATAAGAGACAGATAGATAGACTTTTGATGGGACACAGACTTATTTATACACCAGTGTTTTGCCGGCTGTGATGAAATATTGTTAATTTCATATTCCGTTGTCCAAGCTGTCGAAATCTCTCAAAATATTTCGGGGCTGAAAGAAGAAATTTTATTGTTGCTTCTATATTTTTCGGGATCTGGAATACATCTATTGTATTTGATAATTCTGCATTGCACTCCCAGTGGGGGAATTAAGTGTGTGTCTATTTTATATGAGAAGTCGTGTGTTGGATCTCAGTGTCTTACATGTGTTAGTGTTGGTGATCACACTGTCCTGTCCTACTGGAGGTGCACGCCTGGCATCTCCCTCTTCCAATTAGTGAAGCCTTAATTTGAGCCAACCTAAACACTAGGATGTGGGACTATGTGATTAGTAGCGGGATGGCGAACAGCAAGAAGCAGGGCAAGAAGTCCAAACTGAAGAATTTCAAGGCTGACATAGTATTTGTAAGTTTTATTTCTCTTCAGGATGTTTTTTCATAGCTATGTGATAGTCCATTATTTTTTTTAAGGTGTTTGGCTTGTCATTAGATGTTAATACATTAAGTAAATGACCTGATACCTACATACTGTACATATTGTATATAGCTAGTTTGATGGATACCTACGTGCCACTAGTGCTACTGTAAATAGTACCATGGGGCAGAGGGCCTGTACACCTACTGCTGTGTATATTAGCATGCTTCATGTAGGATACATTTGTGTGTCGCATGCCATAGTTCAACAGAAATACACCGTATCCTTTTCTTTAAATATCATTGAATAACATCAATTATCAGATTATTTTTCTCTTTTGTCAAATTGGTCATTTTAGACATGAAAGTTTTCCAATAATATTGCAGTGGATAATTTGAGTCCAAGTTTCATAATGAAAAAAAAAAAATGTTAAAAAAGATGTTGAAACATTGTAGGAATGTTTACATGGATAGAGTGGTTTGGTTAAAAAATGAACAGAGTTTAAAGTCTTAACAGTTTATGTAGATACACATGGACCTGCCTGCATATTTACCAGGATCTAGATACTACATACATTTGTTCTTTACTTTTCACCAGGGTTAACAGTTGTCCTTAACTGTTTACCAGAATACAGTTGTCCTTTACTGTTTACTGAATACAGTTGTCCTTAACTGTTTACCTGAATACAGTTGTCCTTAACTGTTTACCTGAATACAGTTGTCCTTAACTGTTTACCAGAATACAGTTGTCCTTTACTGTTTACTGAATACAGTTGTCCTTTATTGTTTACTGAATACAGTTGTCCTTAACTGTTTACCAGAATACAGTTGTCCTTTACTGTTTACTGAATACAGTTGTCCTTAACTGTTTACCTGAATACAGTTGTCCTTTATTGTTTACCTGAATACAGTTGTCCTTAACTGTTTACCTGAATACAGTTGTCCTTAACTGTTTACCTGAATACAGTTGTCCTTTACTGTTTACCAGAATACAGTTGTCCTTAACTGTTTACCTGAATACAGTTGTCCTTAACTGTTTACCTGAATACAGTTGTCCTTAACTGTTTACCTGAATACAGTTGTCCTTTATTGTTTACCTGAATACAGTTGTCCTTAACTGTTTACCTGAATACAGTTGTCCTTAACTGTTTACCTGAATACAGTTGTCCTTTACTGTTTACCAGAATACAGTTGTCCTTAACTGTTTACCTGAATACAGTTGTCCTTAACTGTTTACCTGAATACAGTTGTCCTTTACTGTTAACCTGAATACAGTTGTCCTTTACTGTTTACCTGAATACAGTTGTCCTTAACTGTTTACCTGAATACAGTTGTCCTTAACTGTTTACCAGAATACAGTTGTCCTTTACTGTTAACCTGAATACAGTTGTCCTTTACTGTTTACCTGAATACAGTTGTCCTTAACTGTTTACCTGAATACAGTTGTCCTTAACTGTTTACCTGAATACAGTTGTCCTTTATTGTTTACCTGAATACAGTTGTCCTTTATTGTTTACCTGAATACAGTTGTCCTTAACTGTTTACCTGAATACAGTTGTCCTTTACTGTTTACCTGAATACAGTTGTCCTTAACTGTTTACCTGAATACAGTTGTCCTTAACTGTTTACCAGAATACAGTTGTCCTTAACTGTTTACCTGAATACAGTTGTCCTTAACTGTTTACCTGAATACAGTTGTCCTTAACTGTTTACCTGAATACAGTTGTCCTTTATTGTTTACCTGAATACAGTTGTCCTTTACTGTTAACCTGAATACAGTTGTCCTTAACTGTTTACCTGAATACAGTTGTCCTTAACTGTTTACCTGAATACAGTTGTCCTTAACTGTTTACCTGAATACAGTTGTCCTTAACTGTTTACCTGAATACAGTTGTCCTTTACTGTTTACCTGAATACAGTTGTCCTTTATTGTTTACCTGAATACAGTTGTCCTTTATTGTTTACCTGAATACAGTTGTCCTTAACTGTTTACCTGAATACAGTTGTCCTTAACTGTTTACCTGAATACAGTTGTCCTTTACTGTTTACCTGAATACAGTTGTCCTTTATTGTTTACCTGAATACAGTTGTCCTTTACTGTTTACCTGAATACAGTTGTCCTTAACTGTTTACCTGAATACAGTTGTCCTTAACTGTTTACCTGAATACAGTTGTCCTTAACTGTTTACCTGAATACAGTTGTCCTTAACTGTTTACCTGAATACAGTTGTCCTTAACTGTTTACCTGAATACAGTTGTCCTTTATTGTTTACCTGAATACAGTTGTCCGTAACTGTTTACCTGAATACAGTTGTCCTTTATTGTTTACCTGAATACAGTTGTCCGTAACTGTTTACCTGAATACAGTTGTCCTTAACTGTTTACCTGAATACAGTTGTCCTTTATTGTTTACCTGAATACAGTTGTCCTTAACTGTTAACCTGAATACAGTTGTCCTTAACTGTTTACCTGAATACAGTTGTCCTTAACTGTTTACCTGAATACAGTTGTCCTTTACCGTTAACCTGAATACAGTTGTCCTTTACTGTTTACCTGAATACAGTTGTCCTTTACTGTTTACCTGAATACAGTTGTCCTTAACTGTTTACCTGAATACAGTTGTCCTTAACTGTTTACCTGAATACAGTTGTCCTTTACTGTTAACCTGAATACAGTTGTCCTTTACTGTTTACCTGAATACAGTTGTCCTTTACTGTTTACCTGAATACAGTTGTCCTTTACTGTTTAGTTGTCCTTAACTGTTTACCTGAATACAGTTGTCCTTAACTGTTTACCTGAATACAGTTGTCCTTTATTGTTTACCTGAATACAGTTGTCCTTAATTTACCTGAATACAGTTGTCCTTTATTGTTTACCTGAATACAGTTGTCCTTAATTTACCTGAATACAGTTGTCCTTTATTGTTTACCTGAATACAGTTGTCCTTTATTGTTTACCTGGGTTAACAGCTGTCCTTTACTGTTAAGCTGGGTTAACAGTTGTCCTATATTGTTTACCTGGGTTAACAGCTGTCCTTTAATGTTAAGCTGGGTTAACAGTTGTCCTATATTGTTTACCTGGGTTAACAGCTGTCCTTTACTGTTAAGCTGGGTTAACGGTTGTCCTATATTGTTTACCTAGGTTAACAGCTGTTTACTGTTAAGCTGAATACAGTTGTCCTTTACTGTTTACCGAGGTAAGCAGTTGACCTTCACTGTTGATGAGGAGGATATATTTTTTCCTGACCCTTTACTTGGATTATTACAGTACTCCCTCAATGTCACTGCTTTTTCTGAAGAATTTTATAAGAGAAACCATTTAAGCAAGATCAGACGCTCCATGTTTTAACATGTCACATTTAAGCTTTGGTGCGAAGGGCAATTTTTTTTTGTTTGAAGTGATCTCCAGGAAATTTTATTGTTAAGTTTAGTATGGGTCTTAGTTGTTCTTGATGTATTTGGAGTTTGATTAGATATTGAAAATTGTCATCAAAGCCATCTTAGTATTTAATGCTACCATTATATCATGATTTCTGAACAATAATTGGAGGTATCATCTTATATCTTTGTGGATATGTATTTGTCCTTGTGAATGAAGAGTGACTGCTTAGATTCATATAGGATATTGTCACATGATACATTTACTATTGAGAATACTGTCAATAGGTATTATATCATATTTACTATTGAGAATACTGTCAAGATGTATGATATCATATTTACTATTGAGAATACTGTCTATACATATGATATCATATTTACTATTGAGAATACTGTCTATACATATGATATCATATTTACTATTGAGAATACTGTCAGTATGTATGATATCACATTTACTATTGAGAATACTGTCAGTATATATGATATCACATTTACTATTGAGAATACTGTCAGTATATATGATATCACATTTACTATTGAGAATACTGTCAGTATATATGATATCACATTTACTATTGAGAATACTGTCAGTATATATGATATCACATTTACTATTGAGAATACTGTCAGTATATATGATATCACATTTACTATTGAGAATACTGTCAGTATGTATGATATCACATTTACTATTGAGAATACTGTCAGTATGTATGATATCACATTTACTATTGAGAATACTGTCAGTATGTATGATATCACATTTACTATTGAGAATACTGTCAGTATATATGATATCACATTTACTATTGAGAATACTGTCAGTATGTATGATATCACATTTACTATTGAGAATACTGTCAGTATGTATGATATCACATTTACTATTGAGAATACTGTCAGTATATATGATGTCACATTTACTATTGAGAATACTGTCAATACGTATGATATCACATTTACTATTGAGAATACTGTCAGTATATATGATGTCACATTTACTATTGAGAATACTGTCAGTATATATGATGTCACATTTACTATTGAGAATACTGTCAGTATATATGATGTCACATTTACTATTGAGAATACTGTCAGTATATATGATATCACATTTACTATTGAGAATACTGTCAATACGTATATCACATTTACTATTGAGAATACTGTCAGTATGTATGATGTCACATTTACTATTGAGAATACTGTCAGTATATATGATGTCACATTTACTATTGAGAATACTGTCAATACGTATATCACATTTACTATTGAGAATACTGTCAGTATGTATGATGTCACATTTACTATTGAGAATACTGTCAGTATGTATGATATCACATTTACTATTGAGAATACTGTCAGTATGTATGATATCACATTTACTATTGAGAATACTGTCAGTATGTATGATATCACATTTACTATTGAGAATACTGTCAGTATGTATGATATCACATTTACTATTGAGAATACTGTCAGTATGTATGATATCACATTTACTATTGAGAATACTGTCAGTATGTATGATATCACATTTACTATTGAGAATACTGTCAGTATGTATGATATCACATTTACTATTGAGAATACTGTCAGTATGTATGAT